ATAATTATCATAGTAAATTTTAAGTTATTCACAATTTTTTTAGTTTATAGAATTTTTTAAGTTATACAGATGCTTCTTTTTTAAGTTATTATATTTTAATATTTTGTTAATATATATATATATACAAAAAACTAATACTAGTATTATAAGTTGATTAGATGTTAGTTGGCTTAGTTAAATTAGTGACTAAATCAGCCAATTTTTTGAAAATCAGCTTAGTTGTTTTTTAATAATAATAGAATCAGCTATGTTCTATATTAATATTTATTTATTTTTTATATTTACTTTATAGAACTTTAAAAATCAGTTATATAATTAGTATTTACAAAATTTTGAGGCCAATATCAAATACATACAAAGTAAAGTAAAAAGTGTATTCATGCATTCAAAAAAGATAAATTTTTTATTAAAAAAGACAAAATCCAAAAATATAATTAGGTTTGTATATTGTTTATATAAATTTTAAGTGACTTTATTTTCTGAAAAATATTTTATTTATTCACTTATACTTTTAAAAAACTCTTTATAATTTAATTTTTTTATGAACTCATTTTTAAAATTTAGGATCAAAATATATAGAAATCCTGTTGATAGGCCAAAATTAATTAATTTTGCTCAAAATTTTATGAACTAAAAATGTCCTTAAGCATCTTTCTCAATAGTGATCAAGATGTTGTTTAAAGTATTATAATCAATTAAGTAGTTAATTAAAGAATAAATTGTTAAAAATTCATTAAGTTTAACTAATAAGAGCAGCTTTATGTTTCAGGTTTTTTGACTTAAGTAATAATCATAGTTAACTTGTTTAGCCAATCATATTTTGCAAGAAAAGTTCTAAGTTTATATAGCAACTAATTTTTATTTGATTTACATTGCATATAATAATTTTTTAATTTATTTTTAAAATTTACATTTAAAAATTTTTTATTATTTATTTTTAATATTAATTTTAATGTTAAGTTTATTAATTTTATTAACTTTATAAATTTATTAACTTTATTTATTTTATTATTATTATTATTATTTTACTTTTGTTAAAGCTATTAGTATTAGCAGCTATAACCTTTATTGTGATTTTAATTATGTTTGCATATTTGTTTATATAACTTGTACATAGTGAGTATACAACTAGCTACATGTATAACTTTTGGTTGTTTATTTTAAGTAGTTCACTTGCATAGCAGGTTTTACACTAGCTGCTATATCTGCAATCTACTAGGTAATTACTTATTTAAACACTCTGTTCTCTGTACTATATTAAACAAATAGTGCACAAGTTTCTGTACATTTAAGTGTTGTCTAATCTACTATAGATCTTCCTTTTTGTATATCTGTTAAGCTATTATATATTTCAGAGTACATCATCTGATTGTAAAGCTTAAAATGGCCCTTTTGCTAACTAACTACCTATATTTAATCTTTATTGTTAACAGAGTTTGCTCTTGTAGAGTTTATCTAAATTTTAGTATTAACTTTATAGCATATTTCTAATACTTATAGTATACCTTTGCTTTTATTTTCAGACTCCCAATTCAGATAGTCCAAAAGGATTGTGATCTGTTCCTAGTATTTCAAAGGTTTGCTTTTTCAAAATTTTTTTTTTTTAGTTCAAGACTTCTAGCAGCCTAATTGGTGATACTGCTTATCTGAAGTTTTTGTTTACTTGATTTTTTTCACATTGGTATTTGTTTCCTAAATCTAGTTTTTATAATAGTACTGTTAAAGATCCATGTTATCTTTCTACTCAGACCTTTCCAAGTAGGCTTTAGTTTTTTGCAATTCTATAGATTTACACAACTATAAGAACTTATCTTGTGTTTTATTACCAATGTTGATTTGTATTTCTTCATGTAACTTCAATATTGCACAGATGCTCCATGACCTGGCAGACATACTGGTGTAACTGTAACTACAGGTATCTGATCCTAACTAATTGACAGAATGCTGTTGTCATAATACTGTTTACCTTCTGTAATACTAATATTACATAAGTAATTTTACAAATTTTTGCTATTGGTAAGTTTTGAACTTTCAACTTACCACTTGAGGAGTTGACAACTTATTAACTTCACTAAGTCACTACATCCTTCTATTAACTTTATTTATTAATAAATAATTTTTTAATTCATTTTTAAAAATTTATATTTAAAAAATTTTATTATTTATTTTTAATATTAATTTTATTAACTTTATTATTTTTATTTTTATTTTATTTTTTATATTAATGATGAACTTTATTAATTTTTTTTTTTAAATATTAACAGTAAACTTTATTAATTTTATTAAGTTTATTACAATTGTAAATACATATTTATTAAATTTATATATAAAAAAAAACTAAAACTAAACTAAATATTAAGATATTTAGTTTTAGAAAATATATCTCTTACTTATCCCAACCATTACAAAAAGATATATTGTATTGGTTAGAAAGGTAAACCCTAATCAATCTCTCACTCCATCAGTACTAATCATGGTTCAGTTTCCAGTAAAGTGAGTAAGTTGTTCCTTTTGAATCATTAATACTTTTGTATTTCATCTAGGAGCTTTAACTTAATCTATACTCTAAAGTTCAAATATACCTGTTTAAATATTCACATTCAAGTATTTTCATTCAAGTATTTATGTTCATGTTTGAATATTTCCATCCAAGTATTTATGTTTGTGTTTAAATATTTCCATCCAAGTATTTATGTTCATATTTGAGTATTTCTGTCTAAGTATTTGTGTTTGTGTTTGTATTTCCATCCAGATTGTATTTCCATTCTAAATTTCGTGTATTATGTGTTGTATATATGTAATTTAAAAGTTTAAGAGAAAAGTGATAAAAATGAAGTAGCAAACGAGAAAAAAGATATTCTTATATAGCTTTGTGATGTTTTTTTTTTGACGCGTAAAAATTGAATTAACACGTAGTACATAATTTTTTCACATGACAAAAATTTTTAGTTATTCCCATTGTCAATTTTCTTAATTAAATATTAAGCAATCAAATATATTCGCATTACTATTGTTCTCTACAAAATGGTCGGAATGAAATCTAGCAAAACTGGGTTGGGTCCAGATTTGAATAACCACATATTACATACATAATTACTATCGATACCCCTTATCCAAACAAGGTAATATAGTGATGCACTTTCGACACATTTGCCAATTTTCACAAATTATAACATCTTTCATCAGAGTTAATATTATGACAAAATCACCAGATTCAGCATTTGATGAAACTATGCCACCACCATTCGCATATTCCATAGCGTGTGTTAATGTATGACAATTGGTAATATACAGTTGGACTCAAAACTTTGGGTTCATGGGCACTGGAACGGGAAACAGTCATTAGAACATGACCGGAGTTGTGTAATGTGAAAGTTGGAAATAAAAATGGAAAGTTTACATATCTCAATATGCTACCTCATGAAACGTTGTATGAGTAGAAAGCAATGAACAAAGTAACAACCCTTTGAACAAATATTAGAACATATGTATATATATTATAATTTATAAATACTTCAAATTAGTGTTTCATATATCGTTTTTTTCATACAGTTTATATAACATAGTGCATTTACACAGTAAACCGTATTTCGTCATGGAGAGTACCCAGGGTCTCTTACCATCTATACCTCCTGAGTATACTGCATGGTGGTGGGTAGGGCTGTAAAAAAGCTTGTTGGACCGGGTCCTTGAGTCGACTAGGCAGCAGAGTGTCCAGATATTTCTAGCATCTAAAATAGCACTATTTTTAGCAAATTGCTACAAATAGCTAGTTACATTGTTTTTGTGCTAAGATGTGATTTTTGTTATTCATGCAACAATTTTAAGACTTTTCTTTTGTTTGCAAACAATTAGCAGTTTTTATATTTATAGATAACTGAAATTTAGAATTTACTAACGGATAGATTTTTTTTTTAAAATGCCACAAGGTCTTTCAATTTTAGATAAACATCCAAAATACAAAGATGATTTTTATCAAAGTGAAAGAAAAGTTTATTGCACGTATTGTAAATGTGTTGTTGATCATAAAAAGAAACATAATTTAGATTCGCATCTAAAAACTAATAAACATGAAAGGAAAAAAAAAATTGCCGAAATTAGTGAAGATTTGCCTAAACAAGAAAATTTAACTATGTTACAAACTCAAATATCTAGCAAACAAGAGATTAATATTGATATTATTAAGGCTTTTACTAATGCGGATATTCCTATTGAGAAAATTAAAAAATTAAAACCATTTTTTAAAAAATATTGTATAAATGGTATTTATTATATAATAATCATGTTTTTTATAATGATTTTTTGTTTTATATATAACTTAAATTACTTAATATTTATTAGGTAATGTAATTGTTGGTGCTAATCAACTTCGTGAACAATACCTTCCACTTGTTTATAATATTGAATTAGAAAAATTACATCTTTTACTTCAGGACAAAAAAATTTGCATCACTGTAGATGAAATGACTGATGCATGTAGAAGAAGTACAGTTAATATCCTTTTTAGTTATAAAAATTTTACAAAACTTGTAAAAACAGAATTTCTTTAACAAGTTAATTTTACTACGATTTCTCAATTAGTTGTTTCTACTATTACATTTTATAATATATCTTTTAATAATGTTATTTTATATATTAGTGATAATGCTAGTTATATGAAAAAATCTTTTTTAGATGTTTTATCACCTTTAATGCCACAAATGCATCATAATACTTGTTTTGCGCATATTTATAACTTAGTAGGAAATACCTGGATTGAATATGAAAAATTTAAAATTGTTGATGATGTTGTTATAACTATCAAGTCTACATTCGTTAATGCACCTTCTAGAAAAAGATGATGATTAAATTGTCTTTCATTATATGCAGTAGATGATGTAGATATTAGTTTAACTTTACCACCATTACCTATAAAAACTAGATGGTTTTCTTGGTTTCGATTTATAATTTGGATGAAACCTTATTTGAAATACTTGATTGGCTTTTATCAACAAGAAAATATGCTTTTAGATCCACCAAAAGCTGTTATCAATCTTGCTAATTGGGTTTCTAATCCTGATACGACAATTTATATTGAAATGATTACTGTATTTGTTACATTAAACAGACAAGAGTAAGTATTTTTTAAAATATATTATGTATTATATTATATAAGTATATAATATAAATTTATTTAATAAATAGAAATATTTATACTCATGCATATAAATATTTAGATTAATTCAGGATTTAGACTTTTTTCAAATAAGAAATATACCAATTGCACCATTTGTCTTTTCTCGAATTGAATGTATGCAAGAAATATTATTAAATGGAATAACCAACCCACAATTTACAGATGAAATGGCTGCTTATATAAGTCAAAATCACCTGAATATCAACTATTTTAAGGAAATTTTTGAACAGGCTTTTAACTTGGCATATACTAAATTTACAAAACATGTTAGACAACAAGATGCACTACTACTTTTTAAAAGTATTCAATGCTTCAATCCTCAATTTATTCGTCAATCTACTTTAAGACACAATTTGTCAGATTATTCAAATATTCTTGAATTTCAACATCCATCAAATAGATTAATCGATGAATGGAAAGTTTATTGTGAAATGGATGAAAATTTTGATATTAATAATGAATTTAATTTGATTTTAGAAAATTATTGAAAAGATAAATTATATACTTTATCTGTTCTTTCTAAAATTGCATTAATTTATATTTGGATTCCTGTTTCTGGAGTAGATGTAGAACGTTCATTTTCCAATTATAAGCATATTTTAGATGACAGATGTAGAGCTCTTACAGAAAAAAATATAGCTAAGTTAAATTTTCTGTATTTTAATAAATGTATTATCAATGAACTCGATGATGATAATATAGACAAATATAATGGCGATGAATAATATTCATAGGTAAGAACTGATTAATTTTAAATATATAATTTTTTTTTAAAAAAGATAAGTATTGACATTGAAGTTTTGCTTTTAGTCTGTTACTATTTACTATATAGATTTAGATTTTTATATAAATAAAATTTTATATATATATTTCGACAAGTGTATATTTACTATCTGAATGAAAAATTTTTAATGACTCAAACTATTGATATAATGTAAACGTCAACGCTAATAAAACATAAATGTTCTTTTCGTTGTTTTTAAACTATACTAAGATTCTACTATTTTAGCAATATTAAAATCGAATAAATATATTATTTACAAGTTAGACTTGTTGATAAATATAAACTTTATTAACTATCATTTGTGAAAATAACACTATGAATCAAAAAATTCAAAAAATAACGATCATCGCTATTTTGCTATTTTTGCTATTTTAGTTAGCTATTTTTGCTAGCTATTTTGACTATTAATAGCTGGACACTCTGCTAGGCAGAGACTTTTTAGGACCGACTCAGAGTCGACTTCAAATAAAGTCCGAATGTAGGGGTCTACATATCTTTTGTCCAGGGAATTAGCCATTTGATTGGCTAATTTATGCTGACCCATACATGATGATACGTATTAGTAAATCACGTATTATCATATTCAACCTTACTCAAGGATCGACTCAAGGATCGAGTCCTGATTAAAGTCCCTATTTGAGGAGTCCGGACGGATAGGATCGGACTTTTAACAGCACTAGTGGTGGGTACACTATCCAGGGGTAAGTAAATCAAGTCACCTTAATATTTAATTATTAAAAGTACAATTACAAAGTTACGAAGCCTTTTTTTATATAATCTATTTCAAATCCATTATTTTTAAAATTTTTCTTTTTTTTTGATTAGTAATAATTTTAACTGATAGTATAATTGATCTGTCATAAGTATAATTGAGGTCAATTTTTATGCCGCCGTGAATACGTATAATTGAGTTCAATTTTTATGCCGCTGTGATAGGGTCAGGTAGATAATTGACTAACATGTCACAGATTTCAGATATAAATTTTTTACTACTTTCTTTTTCTTATTTCACTTTTTCGTTCTTTACAAAACTCTTTATCCGATGACCGAATTTCAAGATTATTCATTTTTGCCTCAAAGAATTTTGTTCTAATATATCTTAGCAACAAATCGGGAAGATTTTGATTTTGTGCTGAGGTTTTACGTGATCCAGTAAATACAAGCACACCATTGAAAGACACTCCCCTGCAAGATCCTCGAAGTTTTGAAGAATTAAACATATGAATTTGGATACAAATCTGGTATTACTAGAATTAGTATAATTTTTTCCGTTGGGCTCTGATAGGTTTCCAAAATTAGATAGTACAATCGACTTTGGATATAAAGAACTCAGATTTAAAATTTTACAATAGTTCGGTATAAAGGTGCAATTGGTTAAGAAAACAGTAATTTTCTATAATGAACTTTTTTTTTCTTCCAGAATCTTAAGTTCGTTTTTGGAAGAGTTGACTGTAGTTCAAAAGCGTTCGAGACGTGTTTATTATGCAATCCTCTCAAGTAGATAATATTAAATGCAAATGCAAAAATGTGTGTGGCAAAAATCATTGTAAATGAAAAAAAAAGTACCTTGCGGGAGTTGTTACAATCCCACTAATCAGATTTATTTAAAGAGACTTAAATTCCAAAACAAAGTACTCGTTAAAATAATTTGGAAGACACTTAATTTATTGTAAGCTGAATTAGAATTCTTTAACGACTCGGACACATTTTAAAATCTATTATAACTTATGTGGTTCATTCATTTTCTTTTTGGAATTGTTCGGAACTTTAAAATTCCTATCTTTTAATTCTGTCTGGCATTATGCTCCCTGGTCTAAATTACGCGGTCTAACCAAAACATATATAATTCTTGATGGGCAAAAATACGCATGTTTCAGGTATCATGCGTGCGCATGATACCCATCTCTACTAGGTGCATTGCATCTACGGATAATAAATATATTTTTAAGTGTGAAGCGCACATGCTCATATCGAATTTTTTCACTGAGCTTACCAAACATTAAAATACAATTTATTATATACCTAATTATATACTCTAGACCATTTACTACTATACCTTTTTTCGACTATTTTCTGAAACTTTCCGACTGCTCTAACTATTATTTTTCATCCTTTTCATTACTTTCTTCCCTCGTATAAGTACAAATATTATATTAAACACTATAGTACTGTACTAACGCTAAATATATAGCTAATAAAATCTTATTTTAGTATGTTTTTAAACCTAATACCGTAACCTAAACCCTATAACTATTCCAAATCGAACCTCACTACCACAATTATCTTATTTAATAAATTTCTCACTGCATCTGCATCTTCTCCAGTTATTAAAAAAAAATTTAGATATATTCTTTCCATTTCATATTAGGATATAATTGTTTTTTGATAGTCACGGGACAGCGGCATCATTATCTCATTCCTGTTGAGGGTTAACGTTAAAAACCTGAATTCCCAAGAATTATTACTTTTCAAAGAAATCTGATAAGTTATTTGTCAGTTTAAAATATTCGACAACTGGTATTAGATACGTGCAACTAATTTTCCTGCCCTTGATATCATTTTACAAAACACATTCATTAAGGCAAGATCATAACATCTCTTCTTAAAAAGCTTCTCCAAATAATATTAATAATAATAAATAATACGACAGGGTGAAACCTGAGTTGCAAAATAGTGGAATTCGCTATGATCATTGAAATCCGCTTTTATATAACAAAAAACATAATAAAATACGGATTTCACCATAACCACTCAGCCATTATATGAATTTTCAGGTGACTTTTATTAAATTATATGTATTTAAACTCTGTACGTAACTGATTTGTGTGGTTATGCTTATGCTTGGTTCGTCTCCTAACCTGATCTACAAAGCGGATTTCACTATTTCACAATTCAGGTTTCACCCTGTTCTAAAATAATAATTTGGTTGGTTCAAAGAGATATGTGAAATACATAAAGCGATATATAACACTTGTTTTATTTTTAACGTGTTGATCCCTGAATGACAGGAATCAATAGTGATGTATACAGGTTGACAGTAAAACATATACAACCAGCTGTATATATACACATACTATATGTATACTATAATATAATTAACAATTTATACTGATATTTTCATGTGAGCATGCAATTTCATAACAATAAAATTACGTTAAATCGGTGAAAGACATATGACCATTTAATCAGCACTCTAGTTACCTCATTAGAATAACTTAACGCCGAGTTACAAATTTTTAAGAAAATCACATCAGATTACTCGATATAAAATGCGTAATCAATGACTAATCAGGATACTTAATGATGATCTTATTCTCTTATATAAATTAGATCGAATGAGTCAACTTTGTGGTCACATTCAAAAATTTTTGGTTGAAAATAATGTACGTTCGTTTTGTACATTTATAAAGTCGTCGTCGTCGTCGTCGTCGCTGGTGTCGTCGTCGCCGTTGCCGCCGCCGCCCATCTTGAATAAAATTCAAGAACTTAAAATATTTAAGATACTACCTTCCTCAACCGACAGCCATAGCGGCCCGCTTTAAATTTTTTAAAATGGACTATGCTGCCTTTCTCAACCGACAGCCATAACGTCCTGTTGAGTTCAAAATAACTATGCCAAAAATTATATATGTAAAGTAGGAAGGTGCTAAATTGATAGATCTTTTTATTTGCTCTTTTCGAATTTTTTATTGAAGTTGTTGAATTCTTGGTTATATCGTAGTAGTATACGAAGAGTATACTATAGATGATGGATGAAGGGTTTATGACAGTTGATGAATTTATATAGGATTAATAGATCGAAATTTGTAAATGTATATAAATATTATTTTTTTTAATAAAGTCAATCTTTTTTTTTTAATACCTTAAATATAATACTTTTTCAAATTATAATGAATGTTTCTTTCCGCAGCCACTTAAACGTTTTACGTCAGATTACAGTGATCATTTTTTTCATTGGTATAAAATTTTGAATATTAATTTATTAGCATTAATTATCACATCTCTAAGTCGAACGGTTATTTTTATACCACGTGAACAAGCAACTCAAGTGTTATCAAGCGAAGGCATGTAACGATAAACCAATTTTTGGATAGAATAAATTGATCTCATGATACTAACTTATAATTAACTTATTAAGACACCTACTCGTTTGCCTAAATAATAACATGATTTGGTTCGATGAAAATTTCAGGACTCATTTATGTCGTTACCATTTAATTAACATGCTAAATTCATTTAGTATCACGTAACACGATTTTGAAAATTTTACGATAATCTATTTAACATTGATTTTTGTTTTTCGAATTTTGAAAAAAAATGATTCTTATTAAACTTTTATCAGCCCGAAATATATATAGATTACACACATCTAGGTCGCATTCAATGCAATTAGGAATACCTTGCATTTGTAAATTTTCTTTATTTACATCAAAAAATGATAAAGGTTCGAATTCCTTGAAAACTCAAACTACAAAAAGTAAAGAATATGGAAAGACTTTATTATTACCAAAAACAATGTTTCCACTCAGGGCTGATGCTGTGAACAGAGAACATTTGTTTCGTGATAGATGTACAAAGGATCTATATTCTTGGCAGGTAAAATCTCTTATACTTTATGTTTGATCTTTTTTCGAGCAATATTTTCTTTGATTTATTTATTTCTTTATCGGTGTAGTTAAAGAATAATTCAAATCGTTTATTTATCTTACATGATGGTCCTCCTTATGCCAATGGAAATTTACACATAGGTACGATTCGAACTTAAAGCTAATTGCTTTTTATTTTTGTATAGTCAATTCTTTGGCTATTAACTGTGAATGTACTTTCATAACTTACTTTAGGTCATGCCTTAAATAAAATTTTGAAAGATATAATAAATCGATATAAAATATTAAAGGGTCATAAAGTTGTGTAAGTTTTTGCATTTGTGATCTTTAATCCTACCCTAAATTGCAAAAAGATTTTTCATATTTTATCGCATTCTTAGTTTTATTCCGGGATGGGATTGTCATGGATTACCAATAGAATTAAAAGCTTTATCAGAATTGCAGGTGCTTATATATTTTTTTTATTCACTTCAAAGTATTTCATATTTATTAAAACTAATGATCAATCTATAAAAACTTAAAGTATACGATTATTTGTCATTGCAATAGAATGTAGATAAATCATCCTTAACTCCTATGCAAATACGTTCCACCGCAAGAAAATGTGCATTGAGTACAATAGAAACTCAAAAATCTGAATTTATGAGTTGGGCAATTATGGGAGATTGGGATAATCCTTATAAGACACTTGGTTGGTGTTCAACATCTGACTAGAATTTTTATTTTTATTATTTATTCACACTTTGTTTCTTATCTGTGAATTTAAGACAAGGAATATGAAGTTAGACAATTAAAACTTTTTCATGAAATGGTGAAAAAAGGTTTGTTTTGGTGATTTTGTCTTTGGAATATATTATTGAATTGGATTGATTAAAAGGATACTTTAGGTTATATATATAGACAAAATAAGCCCGTTTATTGGTCTCCATCTTCAAGGTAATATTTGCATAAATATATATATGTAAATGTATGCTATTAAATTATTAAGTAAACTTTACTAAATCCTTTAAGCAACTATTTAGAACTGCCTTAGCTGAAGCTGAATTAGAGTACCGGAATGATCATAAAAGTCGGTCGGTTTATGTGAAATTTCCTTTGGTGAAATCATGTAAGTTATACATAGTGAATGTTCATTATGAATTTTTTTAGGTTGTATAACCATCAACAGTTACATATGAATTTCACTTGTCTAATGTTTGTCTTAAAAATTTTTATTTCTTTTCATAGCACTAAATTTGCTAAATTTGACTGATACTGATGTTTATATTATGATATGGACGACGACTCCATGGACACTTCCAGCAAATCGGGTTTGTTCGCTTATAAATCTTTGATATTGGACTTCGATTTCTATCACACAATAACCTTAAAATGGTTAAATTAGGCGGTTGCAATTAATTCACAAACAGAGTACTCGATAGTTAGTCCTATTTTTGATACTGAATTTTTACATTGTAAAGATTATTATATCGTAGCAAATAAGAGGATAGATTCATTGCAAAAGATAATTGGATCAGAGCTGAGTATTAAAGCTAATTTTGAAGGTATCTTTACAACTTTATTAATATTCGCTAGTAATCATGTTAATGCATGAAGAGATGATATCAATTTTTTCCTTTAAGGGCATACCTTAATCGGTACAAGTTATGAACATCCAGTTACAAAAGTTCCATATAAAATAGTAGATGCTGATCATGTAACAACTGACTCTGGAACTGGTATTTTATTATCTTTATCTCGTTAACCCTCTATTCGATATTGAAATCAATTTTAGACACCAAAACTAAAAATTTTAAAATTAGGTCTAGTCCATATAGCACCAGGACATGGAATTGAGGATTATGAGACATGTAAAAAATCAAATATTTCAACATTTTGCCCCGTTGATGACCTTGGAAGATTTACCACAGAAGTTGGCGATCCTTCTTTTGAAGGAAAAGATGTACTGAAAGAAGGAACTGATGTTATAATCAATTATTTAAAAGAAAACCAGTTGTTAGTGAAAGAACATAAAATTGTTCATAAGTATCCTTATGATTGGAGAACAAAAAAGCCCATAATTTTGAGGTAATGTATATGTGGATGTCTTTAGTTAGGTATTAAAACAATTCGATCATCAAGTTAATAAATTGATTAATTCTTTAATATTTATAGAGCTACTCCACAATGGTTCATTAATGTTGAAGCATTCAAACAAAAAGCCTTTTCATCACTTGCAGATATCAGGATTTTACCAGACAGTGGTATTTGTTGCTATTTGAATAATTGTTGATTATTAATTTATTTATTTTATATTTCCTTGTTATTAATTTTATTTCGTTATCTTGTTATTAATTTTATTTCGTTATAAAGCTCGAAATCGCTTAGAAATATATACATTATCACGTAGTGAATGGTGCATATCGCGCCAACGTTCTTGGGGTGTTCCAATACCCGTTTTATATAACGTTGAAACAAATCTACCGTTATTAACAGAGTCTTCTATAGTTCATATTATTGAGATTGTGAAACAGTTTGGATCTGATGCATGGTGGGAAATTGATGAAAAAGAGTTAGTAGCACCAGAGTATAGAGACAATGGTATAGTTTATTCCTTTTATTATATGATCATTAAATGAAATCATATCAATTACTTCTTTGTTGTTAAAACTGTTATAATTTAAAAGGTGTAAAATATCGACGAGGTATGGATACAATGGATGTGTGGTTTGATAGTGGCGTATCATGGAGTTTCATATCAGAAAAGTTCAAAAGGCAAGTTAAGAATTATCCAAGATTATACGTATTTTATTTATTATAAATTTAATATTTTTTATACTATTTCGAATTATTAATTAGATCAGATTCCAATGCTATTGCAGATTTATATCTTGAAGGAACTGACCAGCATCGCGGATGGTTTACATCGTCTTTATTAACTTCTAGTAAAGTAACTTTATGATATTATCATGACGTGTTGTTTGCACATATGTTAGATTACTGATCCGTAATTTAATGATACTATTAATGCTAATTATCATTGATTTATTTACTTATAAAGTCGCTGTTAATGACACTGCGCCATTTTCTACTGTTATTACACATGGATTTGTTCTTGACGAACAAGGACGTAAAATGTCTAAATCTTTGGGAAACGTAGTTGATCCTAAGACAATAACAAATGGTGGAAAGGTTTGGCATTGATTATCATTTTTAAACTTGACGAACTTAACATTTATTTGGACTTTTTTCTTAAAAAAACAGAATCAAGAAAAAGAGCCAGCCTATGGCGTGGATATATTGAGACTTTGGGTTGCATCCTCAGATTATACTAAAGATGTTAGCATTGGAAAAACTGTTATGAGTTTGTAGAAACCAGTATTTCGTAACTTTTGATATGAATTTTTGAAAAGATGTAAAATTATTATTCTGTTATTAGGCCAAGTAGGCGAAAATTTGAGAAAATATCGTAACACGGCTAGATTTATGCTGGGCAATTTAAATGGGTTCAATCATGAACAATTGGTAGTATATGATGATTTGAAATCAGTAAGTGCATAATCATATCATGTCACGAATAGTTAACTTTAGTTATTTTTTTTACTAATTATTTTACATTATTGTTAAGTAGATTGATAAATACATGTTACATGAAACTTATCAATTTGGAAAAGTTGTCGAATCAAATTACGATGATTTCTTATTTAATAAGGGTATACATTAGCAGCTGTTTTAAGAAGAAACCCATATTTTTTCAATATTGATTTCAAGATTGATAATTCAATTTTCATTTTTATCCTTAATTTAGTTGTACAAACATTGAACAACTTTACAAATGTATCACTTTCAGCATTCTACTTTGATATTGTAAAAGACAGATTATATGCCGATCATGCGATAAGCATAAGTAGAAGGAGCGTTCAAACGGTTTTATACCACGTGAGTTAACCTAAAAATCTATAATAAAAAATATAATGTTTGTGAATTGATTGTCATTAATAAAATTTTAAAATTCGTTATAAAATTTGATTTTCTTACTACAAATCATACCTATATATATGCTAAGGTTCTTAATGTATATACAAGATCACTAGCACCAATGATCCCACATCTGGCAGAAGAAATATACGAGAATTATAAGAGTATTGATCGTGAACAATTTAACAGTATATTTAAATTAGGATGGTATAATATGGTATGTTAACACGTAGTAAATAAATCTTTATAAATTGCTAAATATATGTTTTGTTATAGAATAAGAATTGGGATAACCAAGCGATTCAAAAAGAGTGGAGTATTTTGAAATCATTGAGAAATGAAGTGAATCAGCTATTAGAGTTGGCTAGGAAGGATAAGTAAGTTAAATTATATAATTATATTTATTCATAAAAAATAATGTAAAATCTTATTCACAATTAAAATTACGGTTCTTAACCGACCAATTTAAGAGTAATTAAAAGTTCATTAGAAGCTAATGTAGAGTTGTATGTGACTTCTGACTTATACGAATTGCTATTAAATCACGGTAAATGTTTATGAAAGTATCGTGCAAACTTGATTGATTAGCCATTTACTGCGTCAATTACGTTTGCTAATTTTTTTTGTGTGACTTCTTGTACTCAATTATATCTCACATTACCGTTTCATTTATATTTTTATGGCTAAAAAAGAACTAGAACTAAAATCAATATTTATTACCTCTGAAGCAACGCTAACGCCTAATGTACCACCATTCCCCAATGAACTACTACAAGCCACAAATTCTATATATATCAGAAATCACACCACAACTAATGATATTAGCTACATTAAAAATATTGATAGTATAGACAATATAAAAGGGACATGTAGAATTGTTATAAGACAGGCACGAATGCACAAGTGTCCCAGATGTTGGAATTACGCTGCTAATGAGGGAGAAAGTTTGTGTCAGAGATGTGAAGAAATTTTATCTGCTAACTCTATTGGGTAACGGGATTTATCAATTTTTAGACCACTAATTTTGGAATAAATATTTTTAGAATTAAAAAAAAAAAGATTGCTCAATTTAATAATAAAATAGAGTTACACGAATTTCCTCATGAAATGTGTTATATAAACAGTGAGCTAGCTTACATAAAAATGGACTGACTTTTCCGATTTTGTTATGAATAAAATTTTCTTTAAACTATGACCGAAGCGACGGTTCAAAAACGCAAGCCTGGAAGTAAGCTTTTTTAAAAAAATTTAATTGCCATAAATTAACTAAATAGTATTATGAAATAATCGAATTATTCATCGATTCAAATTTTAATGATGTTTCAATGACGTTTAGATTCTGCTTTTAAACAACAACGCCTGAGTGCATTCCAGCCAATTATAACACCAAAAACAGTATTTCCACTATTTATCGTAATTGCTACAATATTTGCCCCATTGGGTGGAATTTTATATTATTTTAATGATAAAGTGAGAATTTATATAATTAATTAACGGAGCATAATTCATGAAATTATTTATTAAGATAAAAAATATATTCGGTTATAGGCTTCGGAATTGTCTATAGATTATACACGTTGCGAAACGGACGCACCACTTGACTTTGGTTTAATACCTTCAAAATATGTAACCGATTCTATGATTAAATCCAAATCCTCACCAAAAGACAAACAACTTCCTAGATGGAAAATATCGAACATTACCATTCTTCCAAATAATATATCGATTCCTCAATGTTCCATTCGGTTTTATATTTATAAAGAAATGATACCACCTGTATATTTATATTATCGTCTTACCAATTTCTATCAAAATGAGAGAAATTACGCTAGAAGTTTGGATACAGATCAACTTAAAGGAAAGGCCCTAGATAGAGAGAAAATTAAACATGGTGGTTGCAAGAACCTTGGAATTATTCATGATACTATAGTATATCCCTGTGGACTACTTGCAAATTCCATGTTTAATGGTATGCCTAATGTTTATTTAAAATATGGGTTTAATAATATAAAAATATTATCTAATCTTTGTTCTTGTTATCTAGATACCATAGGAAATCTTACTTTGATAAATGAAGAATTATTACAAGATACAAATGTAACATATAATTTTTCTTATTCCGGCATTGCACCACCTGCGGATGTAGCAAAATATAAACCTACTACATATAATATTACTGAAATTCGACCACCTTCAAATTGGGAAGCAAGATACCCAAACGGTACATATACAACCGATTATCCTCCAATAGATCCGTCAACAAATGAACATTTTCAAGTTTGGATGCATACAGCTGGACTTCCAATTTTTAGAAAACCATATGGATTGAATGAACATACACCATTACAAGTTGGATATTATCAAATAGATATTAGTACAGGTGGGTTTAAAAAAAAACCAATTTTTTTTGCAAACTTTATTTGATTTTCAATTGTACAAAAAAATAAAAAATTTTTTTTCGAAATATTTAATAGTTTTTCCTGTCAAAGGTTATGGTGGCACCAAATCTTTAGTGATTTCAACAACTTCTGTAGTCGGTGGTAGGCATCCGTTCCTGGGAATGGCTTACATAGTAATAGGAGTATTATGTGGACTTATTGGTGTTTTATTGGCCGTTGAAAGTTTCTTTAATTCTCGCAAGTGAGTATACTCATAATAGTACACCTATATTACCATAGTTTATAAATGTTACTAATTTACACATTCAATTTATAGAAGAATGGATCGCAGATATGAATCTATGAAAGTCCGAAATAGCAAAAAGAATATCAATCTACAATAAGTAATACTCGGTTAAGAGAACCGATCAAGTTATAAAATAGTATATAATAAATAAATAAATTTTAATTGGATGTTAATATTTAACAATACAATCTTGAAATCAATAATGGGTATTAATTTTTTTTTAAATGTTAACAGACTTTATAAAAAATATATTTATATATTTCAAATGACTCGTGGGACTATAGACAAATATTCTGCCTCATTATAACGAGCCTATGCATAGGTTTAAATTATGTTTTGAAAAAGTAAATCCGCCAAACATTTTGCTATTGCTAAAAATTTGTTAAATGAATTCGCCTCATTATGTGTATTATGTAAAGCTTGATCACAATGACATTAATAACTGTCATAGCTCTACCCAGAGATGCTGGTGAAATTAATTTCACCAATTTTCACTAATAGTAATGAAATTACCACCGTCTTTGCTGATTGCGATATCGGTTATTATCGTCCTTGCGTCGTTCTCGTCGTTCTTCAACTATAACAGTTTCATTACCAAAACCAGGAACAGAAATATGTCTTTGCTGTAATGCTTGTTGATAAGCATCTTGAGAATAGAATTCCACAAAAGCACATGACTTTATCCAATAATCCGAATGAATTAGAATAGTGATAAAATTAAAATCAGAGTTTCGCAAAAGATACGTACCTTAACAGGCACAACATCGAGATTTTTTACAGATCCAAAGTAACTAAACGCGTTCCATAGTACATCATGATTCATTTGCTCATTACCAACTTTAACATAAAGGGTAAGCCTGGATTTTTTTTCAGTCCGATAATTTGGGGATCCACCTGTAAAAAATTAAATATTGTATATACTCTATTACTATTTCATGATCAAAAGATTATCTAGATAGTATTCGGATAGTATCTAAATGCTATTCGGATACTAGGCGGATTTAAAAATGCCAACAGATGATCATCAAAGTATTCGAATCCCTATCCCCACCTTGTAAATTCATCCTATTGTATGTATTGTGCAGAGATTGACCATGATTACGATACAGAGATTGACCATGATTACGATGCAGAGATTGACCATGATTACGATGCAGAGACTGACCATGGTTACGTTGATAATCGTCATGTCTTGGCCGATCACGGTGTCGGTCCTGGCGACGTTCTTCAACTACAACAGTCTCATCTTCAAAGCCGGGAACAGAAATCTCCCTTTGTTGGAGTACTCGTTGATAAACATCTTGGGAATGGAATTCCACAAAAGCACATGACTTTATCCAATAATCCGAATGAATAATTAGAGCAATAATAATTAAAAAAAATTTTTAATATAAGAGTTTTTGTAAAATATAAGTACCTTAGCGGGCACAACATCAAGATTTTTTACAGGTCCAAAGTGACTAAACGCGCTCAATAGTGCTCTATAATCTATTTGCTTATTACTGACTTTGATATAAAGGGAAAACTCTACAAAAGCGGATTTTTTTTTCATTAAGTATATCTGGGCTGCTGTCAAAAGAAATCAGCAAATTGACATTTTTTTAAAAAAAATTATTACCTTAACTTTCACAGCTCATATCTCGATGAAATTTGAAGCTAGTTTAATGATTTAATATTCAAAAGAAAACTTGCGATCTAAGCTTTCTTTTGACTATTTAATAATTAAAATAGCTTCAAAATTCATTGAGATATGAGGTATAAAAGTTAAGATATTGAATTTTTTTTTAAATGTCAATTTGCCTGATTTCTATGGACGGCAGCCCATCTTAATCTCAAAATTAAAATTGCACCAAAGGTGTAGTCCAAATTTTTGGAAACAGTTCAAATCCAAAACATCCTAACCCTAATACTAATTAGGTAAATAATTATGGCATACGTTCGGACTGCTCCCTGCTATCGTTAATAATATTCATTCAAATACCTCGATTGGAATTCCGATCTCTTGGTGCCTCTCGACCATTTGATTGAAATTGTGCTTGTGTTAATTGAGATGTACGTTCGGCAAACCGTGAGGAATTCCATTTGTTGCCACCATTAGCAGTAGAAGATATCTTTGCTGTTTGCATATTGACTGTAATTTTTTCACTTGGACGAAATTTTATTGATCACTTAAGTTCTATAACAGAATTAGGTTCAGATTTTAGCAATGCAATAACTTCTGGTCGGGGACAATGGTTTTCTGTGGTTCACAGAAAACCACAAAAGTTTTCTTAAAAATAGGTAATTACAGAAATTGGCCTTAATCACCACAAAATACCACATAAAATCTTAAAGAAATTATCGTTTTGTTAAATATTCCAAAATTTCTGATCCGGAACCAATAAAATTTTAGGATCTCGTGCAACAAACGAACAGCGAAAACAGTGAAAAAAAATGAAGAAATCCTAAATAGCGCCAAATTTTATTATGCCAATCAACTTCCTGCCTCTAAGTAAAAATGTTCAGCATGAAAAATTACATACAGAACTTATTATTAATACGTATATTAAGAATATCCGAGACACTCCGATCTAAGTGCTTTGCTTGGAAAGGTCCGAATTTCGCTTGACTTTAAATTCTGGGTAGGATGACATCGGAATCCTGATCGGCTGAGCCGGAATTGATCGATTTTTCCAAGATCACCAAAAATTTACTAACGAAACCATAGCCGTTCATTAAGTAAAAAATGCCCAGCTTAGAGATTGTACCCGTCAAAAAAATCTCTACCAGGGTATTATGTCTACCCGGGTACAATCTCTAGCCCAGCTAATGTTTTTATTGGTCATGCACAAATCAAAATTCCGATTGGATGCAAATAATTAATTGGTTGTAGCCAATAAAATTTGCACGTTGCCGCCTAACCTACGATCATAATGTATTAATATCTCGTCGTTCTGCACTAAATACAATTAAATAAAGAGTAATCATGTCTTCATACACGAATAAATCACACGCATCTGTTGCCTCTTTCATAACTGCAAATCACTTAACGCGTAATTGCAATAAAACCTTATATTTAAGCATAAGCTCGTACTTGTAAACTAGTAACACCGAGCTTTGCATAAACCCTATGATAGACCCCACGTGATTTTTTTACTAATTTTCTTTGGACTTAATTAGGCGTCGCAACCCCGCGATGTGCTTATACATCGCATATTAATGATTGACCAATCAAATTTCTATATAAGGTGTAACGTAGCACGATCAGGAAGATTCAAACAAACGTTCGTTTTGACAAAAGTCACTTATAACTCAAAATTTCACATATGAAACTATCTTTCGTACTAACAAAAAAAAATTTTTGAAATTTTTACAATAAATTTTTGGTTATTGCATTTAATTCTACATAACCCTAACTCTAACTAAACAAAAAACTGGTTTATTTTAGTTGATAAATTATAATTTGTAAATATATGTAATGTATAAGCACATCACAGTATGTGACACATACATTTATCTATTTTTTTTTTGCTAATTGAATATTCTAATGAAATGTAACAGATCTGAGTGGTTTATGCAATGAAATACAGTAATTTCTGAAATTAGATTTTCTTTGCACATATTAATAACTTTATTTTTTTTTTTTTTTTTTTTTTTTTTTTTTTTTTTTTTTTTTTTTTTAGTTTGATTTTTTATTTTTTATATATTTTTTGTTTTTAAATTTTTTAATATAAATTTTATTTTGTTCTA